AGAGCCCAAAGTGTAGAATAATGTCCATGTATAAGTAAGCAAAAAAGATCAGAAGTTGTAATGGGAATGAAGACCTTGAATTGGTGATTTTTAGAATCAGAGCAATTTCTTTGGTGGCATGTTCTAGGATGTAACAGATGGAGAAAGTTATTGATTGGAGGTATCTGTCCACATAAATATTAAATTAGAGAAGAAAACCGTGAGCCTGGGATCAAAGTCTCAAAGAATATGGGGAAATGACTAGGAGATGGGTAGAATGCAGTGACAAAAAGTGGAGAGGGTTATACAACATCTGGAATATTCTCTCCTAAAATAAGAATTGTGATACATACATGAAGGAGTCACTTTCATGGTTCTTTGGGAATGCATATATGATGGTAAGCTATATTCCAAATTATTATCACATATACAGAAGCAATAAAACCAATAGAGAATTTAAGCTAAAATATAAAAATTCCACAGGGATGGCTTATGAGAATGTGGCTTCAGTACTACAGAGAATAAACATCTAATATATTCTTTTAGTTATTAAAATTACTTGACAGGTCCAATATCCGGCTGGAGTCTTCCACTGGCTTGAAGCAAGCAAGAGTTCTGAGTGTATTTGTCCAGAAGAACTTGGCTTGAGATAATTTTTGGCTGTGCTTGAAGTTGAGTAACTGGGACATGAAAGTAGGGCTGCTCAGAAGAGAGCCAGTGATCCCAGCCTACTGCCTTAGGCAATGCGTGTTTTAGTCAGAATTCTATTCAAGAATTCATGTCATCAGAAGTAAGTGGTTTTTTCTTACTGAAGAAGACACTGCTTACAAAGACATGCCAAGAAAAGTCCAAAGAAATGAATCAAGGTATAAAATCTGGGCGGTCCTTAGAGTTGATTTTTAACATAGGACAAAAGAAGCATTTGTGAGGTGGCAGAGCAGGGAATTCTTTCTGCAGTCCAGGGGCCATTTTGGCATAGGCAAGGAGATCACTCAGCAGCACTGGCATTTGTATGGCCATATTTTTTTGCCAGGAAATATTTACTCCATAGTCTAACACTGTCTGCTCCTACATTAGGACAGGCAGTTACCATAATTTTATGGCATTAAATAAATTTATTTTGGGGAATAAATGTTCTGGAGATGTATTGTATCAGTTCACTGCTGAGCATGCTCTCCAAAAGGATCATATGGATGAAAAAATGAACTTCATTCTGTGAAGGCCACAAAGAGCAGGGCTCCAATTCAACCCTACATTAAAATTTTATCCATATTGGTTTTATTGGCTGCTTTCCCCCATCCTGGCTCTGGAGCCATGTTTCAGTCCTAAAAGACTGGCTGGGGTGGGTTTAAGCCAAAATCAGAGGTTATGGAGGACATGTGTGTGTGTGCGTGTGTGTCTGTGTCTGTGTCTGTGTACAATTTCCTTGGATGTGATTGCCAATCTCAAGAAGATATACTTTGTCAAACCACCCACATTTTAGTGACAAAAATATCATACTGTACAGAAAAGCCATCGGATAGATTATCCTATGGTTTACAAAGGACCTAGAATATTTTGATGAAAAGTTCTCAATTTTGAGGTGAGAGAACTGAGGTCTAGCTATAATCAGTAATTTGCTTAAAGTCCTAGAGCTAGATAGTGATAGAGCCAAGACTAAAACCCAAATCTCTTGATTTTCAGTCTAGAGCCGGGGTCCCCAATCCCCAGGCTGTGGACCGGCACCAGTCCATATTCTGTTAGGAACCCAGCCGCACAGCAGGAAGTGAGCGGCAGGCTAGCGAGTGAAGCTTCATCTTTATTTGCAGCCGCTCCCCAGCACTAGCATCACCGCCTCAGTTCCACCTCAGATCATTAGGCATTCGATTCTCATAGGAGCACAGGTTACTTGTGCCAAAAAGGTTGGGGACCACTGGTCTAGAGAATATTTTAAAGAAAACACATGTACCTACATAGTTTTAACAAATGTAAACATTGTTTTGCTTGTATGTCTTTCTCTTCCCCTTACTTCCCAGATAATAACTATTATACCAAATCTTGGGTTTATTATTCCAGTTCAAGTTGTTAGATTTCAAAAAATCTATCTATCTATATGCACACACTCATACATGTATAATTCTATATCTTTATTTTGTTCGATATTATATTTTTTAGATTTATCTTAATCCTATGCAGTATTCCATGGTATGGATGCAATAATATTATTTATCCATCCTCCTATTAATAAACACAATTTTAAAAATCTTTCATAATATACACAGTGTGCCAATGAACATATTTATGAATATCTCTTTGAACACATTTGTAAAATAGTTCCTTTAAACCTCAGAAGTAGAATTGCTAGTTCAAGGAGTGCATGTATATGTGATAGGTAGAATAATGGCTCCTACAAAGATGTCCTTGAAACCTCTGAATATGTTACTTTACAAGGGACTTTACAAATGTGATTAAGGTTAAGGATCTTTAGAAGGGGAGATCATCTTGGATGACTCAGGAGGGCCCAATCTAATCATGAGTGCTTGAACTCAGAAGAGGAAGAATAAAGGGTCAGAATTTACCACCTGAAAATAATTTAACCAACTGTTGCTGGTTTTGAAAATGGAGGAAGGAGGCTTGACGCAAAGAATATGGACAGCACCTAGAAGCTGGAAAAAGGCAAGAAAAATGGATTTTCTCCGAGAACCTCCAGAAAGGAATGCAGCCCTGCCAACCGACACCCCTTGATTTTAACCAATAAAGTCCTAGGATAGACTTCTGACCTCCAGAACTGTAAACTAACAAGTTTGCATTGTTTTAAGCTGTGAAGCTGTAGTGATTTGTTACAACAGCAAAAGAAAAGGAATACAACATATTAAACTTTACTGTTGCTAAATTTCCCTCTAAAGTAGCTGCACTCGCTATCAATGTATGAGAATCCTTGTGACCCTTTCTTTAGCTTAGAGTATCACCAGACTTTTAAATTTTTGTTTGTTGGCTGACTTTGAAAAGATGTGTGATTTTAATTTGCACATGATTTTAACTTACATTTTCCTACTTATTTGTGGTTTTGAGCATTTTATTTCTATGTTAGCTATTTGAGCATCTCTTTTCTTGAATATCTTGCTTACATACATTGTCCTTTATTCATTTCAGGTTGTTACTTTTTCTTATTTATTTGTAATCATTTATATATGCTGGACACAAAATCTTTATTGGTGAAACCCCATGCAAGTATAATTTCCCATTCTGTGGTTTCCTTTAACTTTGCAGTATTTTATTAAATAGAAGTTTTCATTGTAATGTAGACAAATGTATCATAGTTTTTACTTCATGAGTTTTGCATTATAGGCCTTATCTAATACCTCCTTCCTAACTTCAAGATCAGAAATGTATTCTATACTTTCTTTTAGAAGTTTTAATTTTGTTTTCATATTTAGGGTTTTTAAATATTTGGAATTTTTTTATTTGGATACACAGTTGTTCTAATACTATTTTTGAAAATTCATTTTTTCTCACTGATCTGTGATGCCACTTCTCTCTCATACATCCATATGTGATTTTTATATATTGATTTTGTATTTAGTAAACTTCCTAAATATTCTCTTATTAATCCCAATGGTTTGTAAATTTTCTTGGATTTTATAACCAATATTTTCTCAATAAAGATAATTTTACTAGTTTTTGTACTTCTTATACCTCTTAATTTTTTTAACCTTTCTTAATGTCTGCTTTGTATCTCCAGTGTAGATGCAGTCATAGGAGGCATTCTCATATTATTCCTGAATTTAATTGGTATGCTTCTGAAGTTTTACATTTAACTATGGTGTTTACCATAGATTAGGTTCAGAGATTCTCTTTCTATTCCTAATTGGCTAAAAATTGTCATAAATGGGTCTTGACATATATTGAAATTTTTGTATCTACAGGATTTTGTTTCTTTGACTATATCTGCTTTGGGTATAAAGATATGTTTGTGTCATAAAAGTAGTTGATTAGCATTTCTTCATTTTTATTTTCTGAAATATTTGTATATGGTTAGAATTATTTGTTTCTGGAAGCTTTGGCATTATTTTGGTAAGGTAAGATATTATAGTTTATTAAATTTATTTAATGATTATTATTTCTTCCTCATGCAATTTCACTAACTTATACTTGTCTGGAAAGTCGTCATTTTCATCTAAATCTACAAGTTTATTGGCATAAATTCCTTTATAATATTTTCTTGATATAAAGAAACTTTGGATATATAATCATTCCCCTTTTTACCACTTCCATTCCCTTTTTCTATTATTATTTTTGATGCTCTTTCTCTTTTTTTATTGACCACATCAGTCTACTTTATTTTTTTCTTTAAAAGAAATAGTCTATTTTGTTAATTTTATTTATTACTTTTTATGACTACCTTTAGTTTTTTTTTTGCTTCTCCTTTTATTTGGTTTATTTTGCTAATATTTCCTAGCTTACTGTGTTAAACTATTATCTTACTTATTTTCAATCATTACTTTTAATATGTACATTTATGTTTATAAATTTTCCTCTAATTAATGTTGTACAAGCATCTCACAGGTTTTGATATGTAATACTATTTTTATTCAGTTATAAATATTCTCTAAGTTCTATTGTAATACTTTCTATTACTCATCTTTTACATATAAAAATATTTTAACTTTCCTAAAATAACTATATTTTACTTTTTATTAAATGGTTAATGTATTGTAGTTAGAGAATGTTGTTTTTATATCATAAATTATTTGAAATTAGTTGGGACATTACATGTGACCTAGCATGTGATCGATTTTATGTTGCAACAACTTAAAAAATACTTATTCTTTATTTGTTGGAGGCAGGGTTCAGTATATAGTCTCCATTAGAGAAAAATTATACTGAAGTTTTATATTGAAGTTTTCTATAAGTTATAATTGTCTTATCAATTTTCACATTATTGTTGGGAATTCTTATAATTCTCAATTATTAAAAATAATGTATATACTTTAATATGCGTTGGGCATTGTTATGTATCCTCTACATATAATAATTTTTTTTATCCTTACAATAACTCTATGAAGTGACTGCATTATCTCCCCAGTTTACAGATGAAACTAGGGGACAAAAGAGTTACACGAAGGTAAGTGTTCAAAAATCTAGTAATCGGTAGAGCCAAGATTTAAACCCTATCAGTCTAACTCCATTGTCCACATTTTTAGCTCCAACACTATACTGCTGCTACCAGTTTTTGCTTTATATATTTTAGGACTATGTTGTTAGAAATATACAACCTTACCCATGTTATGATTTGTTATAGAATTACATATTCCTTCTATTGTGCGCTGACTTTCATTTCTATCAAGGCTTTTTGCTTTTAACTCAATTTTGTATGATACTAATATTACATACCAGTTTCTTTTTGATTAGAGTTTGATTGTTGTTTCCTTCCCCACACTCCCTCCTTTTTTTTTTTTTTTTTTTTAACCATTCTGTATCATTTTTATCCCTCTGCTTGTTTGGACACTGTGCACTATCTTTTTTCTTTTTTTTCTTTCTTTTAGTTATTACTCCCATTATTTATATACATATATATAAAACTATCATTTTTTTCCCTAAAAGTTGACTTCCTCCACAACACATGGACCTTAATTCACTTTAAATGTTCATTAAAATCCCATAATATTTTTATTTTTGCAAAGCTTTTCAATTTTGCTTTTTTGCTTTTGTAAAACTCAAGAAAAATATATTCTTGAAACAATTATATTTATCAATATATTTATCAGAATCCATGTTAACATTTGGTTTTGTTCTCCCTCTCCTTTCCTGTAAGTTTACTTTTCTTGTTGCTGAAGAATCTCTTTTAAACATTTTTAAAATTAACTTTCTGTCTGTGGTAAATTTTGAAAGTCCTTGAATATTTAAATATGTTTTTGTTTTATTCTCACTATTGAAAAATAGTTAAGCTCACACACAAACACATGTGCACACATACATTCTCATTTATCCCTCACAGAAATACTAGTTTATTGATGAGAAAACTGAAGTGGAGCAAAGTTAAATATCTCCCCAAGGAAATGTAAAAGCGTAATATAAAGTAGAAAATATTGAACAAAATTATTGATGTGTTTTATCTTTTCTACTCCATTGAAAGCTACTTGAGAACAAAGACTATCTTTTATATAACATAGAATTAGAAAATGTTTGAATAAATAGCCTATTTCCATAAATGAAATTATAATACATAGAAAAATATAAATTAATAACTGATTTATTCATAATAATGAATTTACATTCTCCTTCTGACTATTACACATTTAAGAAAAGATATCTCATTTGTTTTTGTATCTTTAGTACATATGCAGTGCCTGGTACATGGTAAATGTTAAAAAAAATGATGTAGTTTTGGTGTGAAATACTTCATATATATTTCAAAAACACATGTATCTGAGCCGAATATAAAGATTGACATTTTACTCCAATCATGTTAAGATTCTTAATGATTATCTAAAATAATTTAAATTTTTACCATTTTCTTAATGATGATAAAAACACATAACAGAAATTTGCTATCTCAAGTATTTTTAAGAGTACAGTTCAGTAGTGTTGAGCGTATTCACATTGTTGTGCAGTGGTTCTCCAGAAGTTTTTCATCTTGAAAATTGAAACTCTATACTCATAAAACAACTCGTTATTTCTCCCTTTCCCTTGTCCCTAATAACTACAACTTTACTTTGTTTTTATAAATTTGCCTACTTTAGATACCTCATCATTTTTTGACTGCTCAATATTATTAAACATTTCAGGTAGTGCTGGTGGGACAAGTACATTAGGGACATATACTTTATGATAGACACATGCAAATCAAGAGAAAAAGAAAGAGAGGGGAGGGGAAAAGGGGAGAAGGATGAAGGAATAGAAGGGAGAAGAGAGAAAGAAGAATAGCAATTTCTTGTGGAAATTTGCTACCTAATTTCAAGCTAAGAGGAACCATTTCTTGGGTAACAACTAAAAAGTAGTCTTCTCTTTGAAACATGAATCATAGCCTAAAGGACCATGTGAGAGAATTCCTATATTTCTTCTCTTGCTATTTTTTTAATTTCTATTGGGAGGAGGTTGAAAACAGAAGCATTATTGGAATATTAAGAATCTTTCCCCCTTGGGGATCTTTTTAATAAGGCAAGTCTGGAAAAACTTCAAATTTTCTTCAATAGCTAAGTGAAGGCCAAATTAAATATAAATTAATTAGTTTTATTCTCTTTCTTGATTACTTCATTTGTATTTTTTGAGGTCATAGTGGCTCTCCCTAGTCATAAACTGATCCTACTTTGCAAACCACAATTTAAATCAGTAAGCACTCCACAAAGTCTCACACTGTGGATTAAGGAAATATCTAGATGGCTAAGGGGGACTATAAAAGGATTTAGATTTAGAGGTCAAAATATTCCTTTTGGGAGCCCCCACATGGCACCTAGAAAAAATGCCCTGCCGATTTGGCTCAAACCCTCCAGAGAGTCTCAGGCCTTCTAGAAATCCACATGTACTACCTTAGGATGCAGCTTTAGCCATGAATGTAAAAATGTAGCTTAGCTATGAAGGGTCTAGAGGGCCTTACCCCTCTGGGCCCATAGTTAAAAACAACCTTCTATTCTAATTTTTTAAAATTTTATTATTTCTGGCATAAAAAGATTTAAGGGATTATTTTTTCTTATTTATTCATCCAATGTATATTTACTGAATGCCTACTATGGTCAATACCTCTATTAGATAGTATGCCAAGCACTGTAAAGTCAGAGAATTCCTGCCTTCGTGAAGCTTCAGTCAGCTTATTATATGCTTATCATGTGATTTAGGGCACTCAAAAATATGAGATTGAGCAGAATCCCCAGAAGCCACCTAGGCCATTCCCCTACTGAAAGAAAAGATTTAATAAAATCTTTTCTGACAGATTTGGTTATTTGCTGTGGCTGAAGATATTCAGAGAGGGGATTTCCCCAACCTTTGAATCAGAGTCAGTGTTCTTATGTGGACTAAAATACATATGTAAAATGTTTCTCATGCAAACCAAGGTAGAAAGGTAGCCTGTGGTAGTAGTGTTACTAGACAAGATACAGAATGCCCAGTTAAATTTGAATTTTAATATTACTATGACACAAATATTGCATGGGATATTCTTATACTAGAAACTTATTTGTCGTTTATCTGAAATTCAAATTTAACTGGGCAGCCTTTAATTTTGTTGTTGTTAAATCTATCTCTATATGGTAGAGAAACAAGGAAGGTCAGGCAAAAGTTATTTGAAATATTAAATTAATTAATGTCATAACAAATTAAACAATTCAGTAGAGATCAAACATTTATGACTTGGATTATGGCACCGTCAGCAACGAACTTACTTTGGAACTCCCTCCTGGCCAATTCTCTTCACATAGGGATGACATTGGGAGAGCGTGTGCATCACTAGTCCTCACATTGTGGATTCTTATGATTAAAACAAATGGTTCAGGCTATTTGCTTTTAGAAGAGTCATATGTTTTAATTAGGGCCTCTTTCAGACCTCTGTGTTTCCATTTTATTTTTAATAAACTACCCCTGTGAGACTAGGCAATAACACAATGGAGTTCACATGTATACTACTGGATTTGAATTTTTACCAGCCATTTCACAATCTACTTTGAAGCATACAGAAACTTTCCTAATATCTCTGCGGGGTTTATGTTCTATCTTAAAGTTTTACCAAAAAGTAAGGTCGTGAGTGTACAGAAAATTAAAATAACTGTACTGTAAGCTCTGTGGTAGCAAAGACTAGGCCTGTTTTGCTCAGCACCAACAACCAAATGTCTAGCACAGTGCTCTCTAAATATTGCTGGATGATATTAAAGAATTCTATCTTTCAAATTCCATATACCCTTCACTCCAGCTAGAAAAGTACAAATTCTATCCATGACTTTCACAAAGGACCTCCATTTATTTTTGTATATATAAAAGGCAAGTCTGGAAAAAAATATATATATATATATAGTAATATGCTTTGCCCATTTTGAGATCTTTTATTATTCAAAGTAAGGAAGCCAATAATTTTTAAAAATTAATTTCTCCAAGAAATGACAATACCAAGTATTTATTTCATATTATTTCTCTAGATTAAAATGTAAATATTTTATTGAAGTATAATTTACATGTCGGGTTACAGTACTTCTCAAGATAACACAAAAATCCAAATTGGGCCTTTAATATTGTTACAAGATAAACTGAGGCATATTAAACCTTTTAAGAGTTTACTTGAGCAAAAACCAATTCCAAATGGGCAGTGCCAAACCATAAGAGGTTAGGTGCACTCCACCCCAAGGAGGGAGGGGGAAAACTTACATAGAGAAGGTGCAGAAGCAAGGAAAGGAGATTATTTCACTGGCTATAGCTCAAAACCTAGTTGACTGTCATTGTTTGTTCTTTGGTTTTAATTTTGTAACCTTGAGGTATTTACAAGCTTAGATTTAGTTTGCTTATGTAGGCCACCACAGCATTAAAGTCATGTCAGTCTGATGGTCCATAACATTCACCCAGGGCAAGTTGTTTAACTAATTAACAATATCATGCTTCTCCATTTAAAAATGTTTAATATTCCTTACTAGGTGTCTATTAATAAAAAAGGGCAACTTTATACTATTAATCCTAAATAGTATAAATGAGTCTTCTAGGTAGAAATTTCTCCTAAATCATTTACACAACACTTTTAACTTTTTTGAAAGAAGGAATGGGCAACTAGAGAGAGAAAGTAGCTAGTTCCAGATCACATAGAATTAAAATTCAAACCTGTTTGTCTTCATTCTGAGTCCTCTGTTCTTTCCACTGCATCGGCATGTTTTTATTTGAAATTCAAGACTTTTTGGCTGAATATCTAAATATGTTCTGAAATGACAAAGAGCAAAAGCGAAAATTCTGGCATTCCCTGTTTTTATACTAGCATTTAAACAAGCATTTAAAAAGTTTGCATTAGCAGTTTTTTAACAACTCACGTAACAGACTTTAAGGAAGTATTTACTTTCTTACAAAGTGGAAATAATTCCCTATTCCTTTGAATTGTCTTGGACATTGCCTAAATGGCTGTCATGAGGTAAGATCAATGCAGGTTCTCGGTTTGACATGCTGGTAGAGTTACCATCTGAGTTTCCTCTGGAAAGTCTGAGAATAAAATGTCTAGACTGATTTTCAGTCCAGAAGCTCAGACTTCAAGAAACTTCGGGCGGTTACAGCAGCCTAAGGAGATGGAGTAAACCCAGCTGGGGCATGCACAGTCACGCTGTGTCCATCAGATTTTACACCAATTCCAGCTTTTTCTCTCTTCTGCCAGAATAGGAATCAACTCATTTTTCCCAAGCTACCTCCTCACCAAAACCTCTTTCTTTTTTCAGTTTCTTTCTGGTCCTGCCTTGGTTCTAGTTTCAACCAAATTTCTTTCCTTTTCTTTTGTTGCTGAGTTTGGAATATAACTAATCTTTATATTTTCATTTTCTTTTTAACTCTGAATGGGCAAATCAGACTAGATACTTATCTTTGATTAATTCATTCATTCCATAGACATGTTCTTAGCACTCATTGCACATAATATACAAAGCAAATGGGAGATGAAGGTCACTCTATTGCACAACCTCAGCCAGTATTACTCACAAAGCGATCCTGCTTAGAAGTCAGTAATAAGACCTTAACATCTGCTCTGCTGAAGTTGGCTTTGATCTTCCTGCTCTCCAAGTACTAAATCTGAGAGCCTTGCTATGTCATAGAAGGAGGTAGCATTTGCATCTGGTGGGGCCATACTCATAACTGTACCCTTTCGAGGTGTTTTTTTTTTTTTCTTTTCTCCAAACAGTAGGATATCCTGGAGGAAAGACATGAAATAGAGTATCAGTAAGTAACCCTGGTGGGCAGGTAGCCAAAGTGGAACCTCTATATTTTATAAGGTCTCTCTTGTCTAGGGACCAGCCTGGTAGGGAAGTGGAAACTCTCTCTGTCACTAGAGCTATACTTATTGTGCCCTGGGTGACAGTTTATGGGCCACATTTGGACAGCAGTAGCTCAGGCCAACTTAACAGTAAGGAGAGCAGCCCATACCAGGCACCATGAATCGCAAGCCATAGAGAAAGACAACTATATCTAGCAAAGGTGGAATCCAATCATGAGACTGAGGGCTCCTCCATTATAGAATGGGAAACCAAGGAAAATCTGTTGACCTGGAGGACATACAAAGACGTACAAAGACAGGAACATCTGGGGCTACCAAAGTGTTCAAGGGAGGTTCCTAAATCTCATGATTTTATCTACTCCTATTTTTACCAACACTGCAACAGTCCCAGCCATCATGATCTCTGGATGACAGCAGACCTAGTTGGTCTCTTTTCCCCACATCCAGTCTTTTTTTTCTTCTTGTAGCCAAAGTCATTCTTTAAAAAGAAAGAAAGAAAGAAAGAAAGAAAAAAGAAAGAAAGAAAGAAAGAAAGAAAGAAAGAAAGAAAGAAAGAAAGAAAGAAAGAAAGAAAGAAAGAAAGAAAGAACAGCATACAAATTTGATTATGTAACATGCTCTCACTGTCCTTGAATATCTTCCCATTTTAAGATAAAGCAAAACTCCTAAGAGGTCCTTCATAGTGGAACTTTTAACATTACATTTTCAGCCTCACTTTCCACTAAGCCTCCCATGTTATCTCCAGTCTCACCACCAAACTGGCTTTTTATTCAGGCCCTGCCACTCACCAAACTTCCTCCTGACAGAGTATTTACATAAATATTTCCTTTGCCTAGAATGCTCTTCCTCCTATTTTGATCCATCAACTCCTACTCAACTACCAGTTTCAGCTCAGGTTTAGCTTTCTTGAGGACACTTTTTACAATTCCAACTAGGTCAAATCCCCTAGTCAAGGTTTTCATGCACCTCTCCTTGATAGCATCCACAATGATTGTAATTTTACTTCTCTTTATGTGATCATTTGATAAATGTCTGTCTCCTCTACTAGACTGCAATTCCATGAGGGGAAGAATGGTTTTTTGGTGACCTTTGTCTTCCCAGTGCCCAGGCAGAGGTTGGGGCATAGTGGTCACTTTTTATGTATCTGTTGATTGAATGAGTGTGTCTGCAAGAGGTGAGACCTGTCTGCTTCTAATTTTTTTTTTTTTAATAGATTTTCGTTGTGCTCTTAGTACTTGGCAACCAGAAGCTCTTGGACCTCCAGGTTTCTGGATAAGGAAGCAACTCAAATAAGGTGGGAATTCTATGTAATAGAGGACTCTGCAAGCTGGGTGACTTAGCATAAGATTACAGTGTTACTATGCTATGTTGATATTTTTGCAAACCAAGACAATGATGCAAACCACCTCACTAAGTCCCATTAAGACAGGATAGTAGACCTGGCGGGGTGGTAAACTTCCTCTCTGTTCTGCTATTGCTGTGTCCATCTGACGGGATTGTGACCTGGAATATTTGGTAATAAGGACCACAATTAGCCAAGCCATAGTGTAAGGCTATAGATTGGCATGATGTTTTAGGCAGAAGCACTCAGCCTAAGATGAAGCAGACAGTGGTCCATGCCTTAACTTAGAAGATATTTTTCAAAACCAAACTTCAGCATGGCAAAGCTTGCTGTTTTCTTATTTGTAAACTGGTATTGCAATCTGAGGTTACATTTAGTAATAATTCCAGACATACATGGCTGGTTTCTTAAAGCCAAGTAAGTATTTAGATAATAGAAGGAACAAAAGGTCAGGCTCAGGCCTGCCAAAGCTTGACGGCGACACATGTTTTCAGGAAAAGAAACAGTGATTTCCTTTATTCTAGTCTGAAACAATATCTTCGAAGTCTTCACTTACTGTAAAATAATAGTATATCATCTGCATGGAACACGAGGAAATAATTAAAACCTGACCTTAACTTACATTGTAGCAGTTAAGTGAACATAAATGATGTTTTATATATAAAAGTATTTCGAGTTTCTAGGAGGAAGGCTCTAATAGAAAACCTAAAGAAGGTTCACTCTAGGTGTTTCTACAAGTAAAATTACATTTAAATCACATGTACTCACTTTTTTATGAAATCTGAAGCTAATTCTAGCTGGAAATTGAGCAGATTTAGCCCGATCAGGGAAATACTGCTATAGGTATTCTCTAAAATGCTGGTGTGACAGGTAGGCATAAAAATCTTGAGCCGACTATAGTGAAACAGACCAAGGCTAAGAGGTTCATTTAAGGTGAGTCAATAGTAAAATTCCTCTACTCGTATCCTTTTTGAAATAAGTGAAAAATAGCACTATTACACTTGTCTCCAAAACGACCTCTAAAATCATTCTTTTGCATCATTCAAGCTACACCCACCACTAAATTGCTCTCTAAAACCGCTAAACTGCAGTCTTGTCTAAAGGTTAATGATAGAAACCCATAACATAACATTCATAAACAGTTTCAGAAAGAGAAAGATGTCTTGACCAGCAAACAGAAAAAATATTTACAACATTATTGTAAGTGCATGAAGGACAAATAACAAGTATACCCCTTCATTTTTTTAGTAAGACCAATTGAGGAAGAGCTGTGTTATGACTCAGAACTAACTTTTGCTTTAATCTGATATTTAGACATCAGTGATGGTGCCAGCACTTTTTATGATGAGATTTGTCTACCTATGCTTTGGACGGAGTGTCCTGAAATAGCCCTTCTGTATTCTTTGGGAAACGGAAATGGAGACAGTGAGAGGGTGGGAAGAAAACCCCTCACTTCAGATCATACCAACTGGACTTCCAATACAGGATCCCATGTAAGGTCTACTTCTGGCCAGTGAATTGATGAGCAAGAAGTGAAATGAGAAGCCCAAGGGAGGCTGCAGCCTCTGAGATCTGTGCCAACTCTCTCCAACCACAGTCTTTCCAATGGTTAAGGGGTACGTGGGCACCATTGCTCTGGAATACACAATGAAGAGTTACCAGCCTAGTTGCAGCTGCTTGGAAATATTTTCGGTTGGACTTGCTGAATATCAATGACAAAAAGCAATCAGCCAGAAAGCCCTTATTACAAAAGTATGTGCCACTTTCCAAACAATGTAAGGCTTTAATGGCCAAAATAAAAGATGTTTTTCTTCTTGGTCTCTACCTGACAGAAAGAGGGATCCCTGGGGTTCTTAAGAAAGAGGGCATGTGAACCCCTGCTTTTCCTAATTTGTATGGAAGCTGCTTATATCATAAAGAGTGAGGATGAACGGGAACTAAGAAATATCAAGGTGACCTCTCTTACAATTACAAACGATATACTAGTGCAAATGAATAGAAAAAGGAAAGAAAAAATAATATGTTAAGATCAGCTAGAATATATATTCCAGAGTTTGAGCAGTGGTTCTGCCCACATACAACCTTTAGGGCATGTACATAAGCAGGGGTTGGTTTAGCAAGGAAACAGAAGTTTACCTGTTCCCCAGTGATTTACATGAATGATAACCCAAAACAAACTAGCAATTAAAAAAAATGGCCAAAAGTCACATTCATATTTGTCTGGGAATTCATGTTGGAGTGAGGCCTTTTGGAATTGTAACAATGAAATGTTAACATTTTGATCATTTTAATCATCATTCATAAATCTTGAAGTTTTGCCAAAGTAAATACATTTGCTTCGGGTTAAAATGTACCAGTTTTGTATTTTCACTTAGCACTGCCCTGCCACTCTGCCATACGATTTCCAAATGGGAGGACATTACTTGGATCATTAGCCTTGACTCCTATACAAACCTAGTCACTCAAAGTAGCTCAAAATAAAGCAATTGTTATGGGAAGATTCTAAGTTGGGCATAGAAACCTTGCAGATAATCAACACACAGGAATTTGAACACAACAGAATGTACCCTGGGCTTCCAGTCCAAAATTATTTGACATTTAAGATGATGGATTTTATTTTGCCTCCCAGATTTCACAAATGTTGACATATTGCCACATTTGCTCTTTTATTAAAGAAATAAAATGTGTAGCTGTCACTGATGTCTCTTTCCACATGTCATTCCCTCTTTTCCCAAAGAAAACCACAAGGCCACAGAATCTGGCACAGTGCCAAGAAATGCACACTGTGCATCTATAACTCTGGTTGTGCAGTCGGGCAGCCCAATGACCACTGTGTAAAGTGCCTGCCTTTGTTGTTGACAGTTCATTATAAGTGTTTGTATCTTTACGCATTTAGTATGCTTTCAGTGTTTCAAAAATATTTACAAAGACACAATATTGTGTATATCTTTCTACATCTTACATTATTTTTAATTAGAGTAGTGATGATGTTTGCCTGACCACTAACTATTCCCTCCCTATTCCTTGCTAACAGAGCTTCAATTTTGTTGAAGTTTCCATTCCTTAGGAAAGGAGAACCCATCCCCTGTCAAGAGTAAATACCAGCTAGTCTAAGCAACTATGGTGATCTTATTCCTTCTCAATGAGTGGACTACATGTGATATAACTGTGGTCAATGGAACAAGCAAGATCCTGTTAGAAGGCTCATGGGAAAGATTTCTTATTTTTGAAAGCGCAGAAAGAAATGGCTTTATCTTCTGCTGGATGTTGTCATATCTGAATGTGAGACCTAGAACTGTGTGTCCATCTTGCTATTTTGAGAAGCTGGCCTGAAGATATGTCTACATACTGATGATGGCAGAGCAGAAGTATGAACAAAACAGGGAGAAGCTATATTAACAAATCTTCAGGCTATCCTACCTCAGGTTTCTTTTTATATGAGCTAATGCATTTCTTTTTTGTAAGCCATATTGATCATATTTTTATTATTTTCAGGAAAAGAAAGTCTGTGTTATTTGAATTGGGAAATACAGATTTTTCTTCTATCTTTTCAATCACAGAATAGTCCCACTGTATGAATATTTATTCATTCTCGCATTAGTGGATATTTAAACCACTTTAAGTTTTTTAGCTATTACTAACGATTTTGCAGCAAACATTCCAACACATTTCTCTTTATGCATATTATATAAGTGGAATTGTTGGGTCATATACATAGGCTATATACATCTTCACCTATATTAGATATTTCCATATAGTTCTCCAAAGAACTTTAAACAATTTATGCCTCTGCAGCAGTATTTATGAATATCTCTTTCCCAACATCATTGCCTTTTCAAACTTTGAAATTTTGGTATGTTCTAATCCTTGAAATTTTGCCTTCATGATGAAACAGTGTATTCTTGTTGCTTCCATTTGCATTTCAATGTTTCCAAGTGAGGTTGAGAAATTTTTCAAAAATTTGCTGGTTTCATTTAAATCATTTATTCATTTTTCCATTGAATTGTTTGTTTTTGTTAGTTTTTAGAATTATTTTATTAGTCTAGGCTTTAATGCCTTATCGGTTATAAGCATTATAAATATCTTCTCCCAGGGAATTACTTGTCTTTTTTTTTCAATTACAGTTGACATTCAATATTATTTTATATTAGGTTAAGATATATATTATAATGGTTAGACATATAATTTATGAAGTGATGCCCCTGATTAGTCTAGTACACACTTGGCACTATACATAGAACAATATTATTGACTGTATTCACTATGCTATACTTTACATCCCTGTGATTACTTCATAACTACCAATTTGTACTTCTTAATTCTTTACCTTTTTCACTCAGTCCCCCAAACCTGTTCCATCTAGAAACCATCAGATTTTCTCTGTATCTTTTTTTATTTTCTTCTTTACATACCACATATAAGTGAGATCATATGGTATTTGTTTTTCTCAATCTGATTTTTTACACTTAGCATAATACTCTCAAGGTCCATTCATGTTGTCACAATAAGATTTATTTTTTTATTGGCTGAGTAATATTTCATTGTGTTTATGTACCACAACTTTTTTATCCAGTTGTCTATTGATGGGCATTTAGGTTGCTTTCATATCTTGGCTTTTATAAATTGCTCTGCAGTGAACACAAGGTTGCACCTATCTTTTTGAATTAATGTTTTGGATTTCTTTGAACAAATAGCCAGAAGTGGAATCACTTGGTCATAAAGTAGTTTTATTTTTATTTTTTTGAGGAAACTTCATACTGTTTTCCATAGTGGCTGCACCAATTTGCAATCCCACTAACAGTACACGAGGGTTTCCTTTTCTCTACACCCTCAAAGACGCTTGTTGTTTGTTGATGATAGCCACTCTGACAGGTATATGGTGATATCTCATTGTGGTTTTAATATGCATTTCTCTGATAATTAGTGATGTTGAGTATCTTCTCATATGTCTATTGGCCATCTGTTAGTTTCTTTTGCTGCGCAAAACCGTATTAGTTTGATGTAGTCCCATTTGTTTATTTTTGCTTTTCCTCTTGCCCAAGAAGGTATATCACAAAAGAAATTACTAGTAGCAGTATCAGAGAGTTTACTGCCTATGTCTTCTTCTAGGAATTTTATGGTTTCAGGTCTTACATTTCAGTCTTTAATCCATTTTGAATTTATTCTTGTATATGGATTAAGAAGGTGGTTCAGTTTCATTGTTTTGCATGTATTTATTCAGTTTTCTCAACACCATTTATTGAATAGACTTTTACCTCCATTGTGTATTCTTGCCTCATTTGTCATAGATTAAATGACCATGTAGACATGGGTTTACTTTTGGGCTCTCTATTCTGTTCCATTGATTTATGTGTCTGTTTTTATGCCAGTACTGTGCTATTTTGATCCTAGTTTGATATCAGGTAGTGTGATACTTCCAACTTTGTTCTTCTTTCTCAAGATTGCCATTGCTATTTGGGGTCTTTTATGGTTCAATATAAATTTTAGGATTATTTATTGTAGTTCTGTGAAAAATGTCTTTGGTATTTTTATAGATTGCATTGAATCTATAGATTGCTTTGGATAGTATGGACATTTTAATGTTGTTAATTCTTCTTGTCCACAAACACGGTATATGCTTCCATTTATTTTTATCTTCTTTAACTTTTTCTTTAATAACTTATAATTTTATGAGTACAGATCTTTTACCTCCTTGGTTAAATTTATTCCTAGATATTTTATTTTATTTTATTGATGCAATTATAAATGGGATTGTTTTCTTAATTTCTTTTCTGATAATTTTTTATTGATATTTAGAAATGTAACTAATTTCTGAATACTAATTTTGTATCCTGTTACTTTGCTGAATTTATTTATCAGTTCTAATCATTTTTTGGTGGAATCTTTAGGGTTCCCTGTATATGCTATCATGTCATCTACAAATAATGAGTTTTACTTTCCAGTTTGAATGCTTTTTATTTCTTTTTCTTGTCTGATTACTATAGCTAGGACTTCCAATACTATAAAAGTGGTGAAAGTGGACATCCTTGTCTTGTTCCTGGTTGTAAGGAAAACTCTTTCAGCCAGATGTTAGCTGTAGGTTTGTCATATATGGCCTTTGTTATGCTGAGAGATTTTATTATAAAAGGATACCGTATATTTGTCAAATACTTGTTTTGCATCTATTGATATGATCATAAAATTTTCATAAATCTTTCAGTTTGTTAATGTGGTGTATCATATTAATTGATTTGTGGATATTGAACCAACTTTGCATCCTAGGAATAAATCCCACTTGATCATGGTGTATGATCTTTTTATTATATTTCTGTATTTGGTTTGCTAATTTTTTTTAGGATTTTTTCATCTATATTCATCAGGAATATCAGCTTATGATTTTCTTTTCTTTTCTTTTCTTTTTTTTGTAATGTCTTTGTCTGGTTTGAGAATACGGGTAATGGTGGCCTCATAAAATGAGTTTTGGAGCCTCCCACCTTCTTGAATTCTTTGGAATAGTTTGAGAAGAATAGATGTTAATTCTTTGAATGTTTGGTAAAATTCACCTGTGAAGACATCTAGTTCAGGGTTTTTGTTGGGAGTTTTTTGATTACTGATTTGGTATTGTTAGTAGTAATTGGTGGGTTCAGATTTTTTGTTTCCTCTTGACCTAGTCTAGGAAGATTGTGTTTTTATAAATTTATCTATTTCTTCCAGATTGTCCAGTTTGTTGGTATATACTTTCTTGTAGTATTTTCTTATAATCCTTTGTATTTCTATGGAGTACGGACTTCTTCCATTTCTGATTTTATTTGGGGCCCCTTTTTTCTTGATGAGTCTGGTTAAAGATTTATCACTTTTGATTATTTTTACAAAGAACCAGCGCTTGGTTTCATTGATCTTTCATATATATATATATACACACACACACACACACATATATATATACATACATTCATATATTTAAATTCTCTTTTATTTCTGCTCTGATCTTTATTATTTCCTGTCTTCTATTCTCTTTGGGCTTTGTTTGCTATTCTTTTTCTAGCTCTTTTAAGTGTAAAGTTAGATTGTTTATTTGAGAATTTTCTTGTTTCTTGAGGTAGGTACTTGTCTTTTTTTTATAGTATCTTTTGTGACACAGGCATTTTATACTTGAATGTAATCAAATTTATCATTTTTTTATTTAGGACTTGTGATTTTTATGTCTTTTTTAAAAATTATTTTCTAACAGGTCATAATGATAGGACCCCTAATTGTTTTTAATTATAAAGTTGATTTTCCATTTAGATTTTTAATATATCTAGTTATCTTTGTTTGCTCCAGTCTTTAATAAGTGGAGATCTCTAAGGTGTCTTATTGTCTAAATTAGTTGTATAAATTAAGTTATAAT